AGCCTGAACATCTTTTAAGCATTCAATCTCATGCCCTCATGCTTCTCTTTCCTTCTGTCCTAGAACACCCCAACCCCTTCCCCTCCTTTTGCTCCCCAAAAAACAGAACTCCAAAGCTATACCTTACATGGCAGGTGACAGCCTGGCTGCTAAGTTCTCGTTCACTAGTACATGCAGTTTCCATTGTGGAATAATTGTGGCAAGGCACAGACGGAATAAGGACTGGGAAGTGTTTTTTAGGCACTGAAGTAAGACTGCCAGAAAATCACATAAGGTACTTCCAAGACATTGGCTAGGACTGACTTAATTTGCCATAGGTCTTTTCAATATTCACAGGTTATTTCCAACCCTTTCACAAGCCAGTAGGGTATGAAGGGGGATATCACATTTTCCTCTTCCCACCCTGACAGGAGCTGCAAAGGAAGAAAAGATGCCTTAAAGTCACTTGCATCTTGCACTAACTTCTAACACAAATTCCTGTGCGTATTTCTGATCATGAATCCAACCCATCCATTTTATTTGCTTTCGGTGGGGAAGAAAAGGCAGAAGTGAAGAAGATTGTTTAGTTATGGCAGTTATGCATGAACTATCTATGCAGAAAAATAAAACATGGGAGTTAGAGGGAAAATCTGAAGTGCAAAAAACCCCTAACGAAATTCACACCTAAGCCAGTTATAACATGTGTTGTAACTAGTCATTACTGGGGCCCAACTTGAGCATTTGGCCCCTATTCTCTCATGTACTAGTACAAAAGCAGAAGGGTTCTAAAGCTGGCTTCTTGATACTGCAGTATGATAAAATAATAATTTCTGTATGGCAGATACTTTTGTATAACGTCTCCCATCAAATTCTAATGTGTCATCAAGAACTAAAGTCCTCCAGTTATGTTTGTGGGAGAATTATGCCACAGAACATTTGGTGTCCATAGAGTGCGATAGGCTACAATGAGACTTCCAAGTATGAAGAGTTCTTGTACGTAGATAGGCTACAATGAGGCTTCCAAGTATGAAGAGTTCTTGTACGTTATCATTCAACCAGTTTTATGAAAGTATTTTTTCTCTTTCACAAATTAAAATTCAGAGTTGTGCACCAGATTTCCAATTTTTTTTTCTTTTTGCAGGAAAGCTTAGCCATTTTGAACTGAGAAGCTCATCAATTGGCATTTCCCATGTGGGTGGAGAAAATCTTGTTTATCGTGTATCACCTGGCAGATCCTTCATCAAGGACAACTGAAAAACTGTTTTATTGAATTTTTTTTCAGAATTTGCAATTAGATACACTACCATCACAAACTGTTACTCAGAAACATGAGAACCTTGTACAACTTAAATCTTCAAAGGCAAATGCTGCTGTGGAATACATCCTTCTCTATGCTGTATTTTATAGTTTTCCCGTAACACTTCCAATTTAGGGAGTAAAAATCCTCAAATCTGAATTTCTAACTCATGGTCTTCATTATCAGGAGTAAGTGTTAACTGTATCTTGTCTTCATAGACTCTCCTTGATCTGAGAGTTTAGTGCTGTGCTTCTCATTATATTAAATTCTGTGTTAAAAGGTAAACTACTCCTAATTTAAATAAGATCCCCTCCAAATTCTGACTAATCTGCAATTTTTCATTGAAAACGGTTAAGAAGCTTATCAAGATGCTGAAATACAGGCTTTACATGACTTATATTGTTTATAAGACTTCATGACCTAAGGAAACCCTCCACCTTGTTCACATTCAAGAAACCTTTCCTCCCAGCTCCTAATTCCTCTCACTGTTTCCCTTCCCTGCAGACATATTCAGATGTCCCTGTTTATTATAAACCAGTTCACTCTTCTTTCTAAAAAAATAAAACTAGCAAATTCTTCTGAAATCAGTAGCCAAAGAGGCTGACTGCTGGAACAGAGTCCGTGTACATGGAGAGGAGGAACAAGTAGAATTAATTGGAGGTGCTATGTAAAGGAAGAGTTATGACTGATCTTCCCCAAATTTATCTCCTTCTGAATTTTACAACTTATTAACACATGGCTTTTACAGAAATTAAATGATTCCCATTAAACTGTCCACAACAGTCCTTAGTTGATTTGAATTTTTAAAGCTACTAGCAATACCTCCATGAACGCCTTACCTTCTCATGTGGTAAGCATTTGATAACTCATTTTAGTAAGATTAATTTCTCTTTCGCCTAATTTCTGAAAAGGGGAAGCTAATTCCCATTGGTTAACAAACTAATCAAACCCAAAGGCTTAGATTAATATAATTCTAAATATATAATGAGATACTTTAAATTTTGAGTTGATCAAATAAACTACATTGATCAAATGAACTCATTCTAAAGGAAAACAAACAGATGTTTGCATAGACTAAAGAGATGTTAATTCAACTTGATATTCACATAAAGTCAATGTAACTGAAAGCAGTTCAATAATATAATTGTTTTCAGTCAATACCTTTTTTATCCCTAAATGCTTCAGCCGTGATCTCCTGCTCTCTGCCAATACAAACATTGGACAAAGTCATACCAAATCTGGCACTGGAGTTATTTCATACCCATTAAGATTAGATAGCATGGAAATCTTACATTCAGATGCAAAGGAAAAGACAACCTCTAAATAAAAACTTTCCTTCTGTGAAGGTGCTACACATGCTGCATTACTTACTATTTTAGCTAAAGAAAATAAAATACTCAAATAACACTCTACCAAAGGCCACGACTGAATGATATTTACTTTCCAGGGTAGATTTGGAGAGATCCACATACTACAATGCTACACAGCAATGCAAATCATCATCATTGAGTAGAAGAAAGTTGTAGTTAACTTAGAAAATATTGATAATTAAATTCTGCTTTTCCCTGTTTTAAAAAGAACATACGTTTTCCCCATCAACAGGCCATCAGAATACGTTATAAGAAACCAACCATGAGCAAATTAAGTAGATATTCCAAGCAATATTCGTGTATGTGCTGGGCAAAAGCAATCGTTTTCCAGGTAACGCAAACCCTGACCCTGCAGCTGACTGCAGAGAGGGAAGTCTGCCACCAGAAAACCTATTGTCTTCTCCTTATCTAGCAGAAAAGCAAATAAGCCCAATTTAAATTATGGCAATCACTATATATACAGTATCCATGGTTAGCAAGTTGAAGCACTTCTAAAAACAAGCCTGATCTTGTGGAGAGAAAGATTAGCGTCGTATGACCGCCAGCACTACTAGACTATGAGTCTATTATATATCACTGAGTTAATTCTTTGACAGCAGGAACTGTAAATTCTTCTACTACACATATACACTGAAGGGGTGAATATCAGGCATCTGCAGATAGAGCAGACACGGGAGAAAGGCTGGAAGAGAATAGGGAAGGGAAAATGAACATACTTGCAGAGTATGCCAGATTTCCCTTCTGCTTAGCAAGTCTTATGAAGAAGAACTCTCTCAACATTACTATGGTGTTAACTTCTGTCCTGCTTGCTCTCCAAATCCCTCTTATTTTGTTCTCCTAAAAGGCCAAGACTAGACTTTGCATGGAATCAGATGAAACTAATTTAGCTAGTCTGGGATGAAAGGTATCAAGGTACAGTCCTCAAGGTTGGCAAATTCAGACTGGCAAGCAAATTTCAGAAGTAGCAAAATACTAAAACCTAGAGTAATGATGAACACTTACTAGCTTCCTAAGAGACTAAGAGGTGCAAGGAGCTCATCCCAGCTACTCAAGATTTTTAGCCGTTTTGCCTTACTTTTGCATTTTGCATTTGCAAAGAGAGCTGGAAGATACAGTAATCTAAATGTATTGGCATGTTGAAATAAACCAGGGTACCTTTTGGATAATGCATCCTTTTTCTAGCATATTTCATATCCCTAGACATAAAAGAAAGGAGACATCTTCATACCATGTCCTGATTATGACAATGCATTACCATTTTTTGCATTCTTCACAGATTATTAAACAAGTTGAATGTGCAAAAATAAAGTTATCACTATTAATTTTAAAGATCTTAATCCAAATGTGTCAAATTCACATGTACAATTGCTCTTATCAGACTCGCCTTTTAGACACAACACACACCAAGGTTCCACTCAAAGCTAGGAAGAGAAGCTCAAAGGTAGGGTTTTGCTTGGCAAAATAATTCTGTCCAACTAGCTGATGTGAAACCTGTATTTCTCCAAACTCCCTCTGGTGGTTCATCCACAGGTGAGTTCTTAACAATCAAAATACAGAAATGGTTCTTAGAAAGTGAAGTGGCTTGTTCCAAGTTGGCTGATCTACCGGGGAGGGTTATGAATTAACAAATTATTCATTTAGTCTGCCTACACCAAGAAAATCTGTTCAATCATACAACAACGATGGAACCCTGTGGCTATTATATTTTTTACATTAAAAAGTAAAAATTTGTTTCTTGGGGCATGATGTAGAAGCAGGCACTGGTATTTCAATTACGTGACTCCTGTTGCTTATTGATACTGATTAGGAAGACAAGAAACACGGAGACACACATCTGAGGAGCCACCACTGCCTTCTCTCTTCACAGAGCTTTCTTCCTCTCAAATTGTTTCCTCAATCTTGAGTGCCCTATCCAGTAACACACAAATGCTGCTCTCCTTCCCTAAGGAAACTGAAGGAATGGATGGAACCT